GTAAGAAACACCTTACTCACGTGTTCGAAATCCACCAGTAAGAAACACCTTACTCACGTGTTCGAAATCCACCAGTAAGAAACACCTTACTCACCTGCTCGAAATCCACCAGTAAGAAACACCTTATTCACGTGCTCGAAATCCACCAGTAAAAAACACCTTACTCACATGCTCGAAATCCACCAGTAAGAAACACCTTACTCACATGCTCGAAATCCACCAGTAAGAAACACCTTACTCACATGCTCGAAATCCACCAGTAAGAAACACCTTATTCACATGCTCGAAATCCACCAGTAAGAAACACCTTATTCACATGCTCAAAATCCACCAGTAAGAAACACCTTAGGAACAAATTCAGGTTTATTCAACTTAATCAAAATTAAGGGTTCTGATTATTCCAGCTATACAAATAATTGAAATATTGCCAACATATTTGTTCATTCTTAAGCACAAAGCTGCATAATAGGAAGTCTGCTCATCAATACTTTATATACTTACTCTTCCTCCTCTAACACATCTTTTCTTACTTCATCACATGTTTTAGATGGGTGCCATTTCTCTTTACAGACAGAACAAAATGTCAAGCCACACTGCAGTGAAAAAAAAAAAACATGTCAGAATAGCACAAGTAGAAATCAGTACATCTTACATGAAATTAAAGAAAGTATTCACAACTGAGAATAATGGAGTATCTTATTACTGATGTCACACCAAATACTGATAATAATAATGACTGGAGACGGCTTGAATGGGTAATGAAGAAAAACTTTAATAGTAAGTTTAACATAACAAATGATGATGACAAAACCTTGTTGAAACATTGTAAATTTGCTGTTATGTTAAACTTATATTAAAGTTTTTCTTCATTACCCATTCAAGCAGTCTCCAACCATTATTAGTCTCAAAGTGGGTTCCTCATCATCAAATACTGGTAATGTCTGATAACAGATGGCAGCACAATACAACTTTTTAGAAAAACAGTCAGTATTGTTTCAGAGCTAAATACAAGAAACCAGCACACAAAATGATTTTGATGCTTTGTTGACATTCATACAATACAAAATTATTCAGAGGTATTAATGAAGAAGCTCATACTAGTTTCTGAAAATACATCAACAAATTAAAAATTTCCTTTCAAGCATGCATTATTGTTCTGCATGATCAACACTTTAGATCAAAAGAAACTGAAATTTTCTACACTATCACCGGTTATTTATTACCCAGAAGTGTTAGCCACATTTCTGTACAAGACAAACAACCTTGTGCAAATACTCACTTGCCACAAGGATTCAGTGATTATTCGTGTAGTTAGAAGCAGTAAAGTTTAGCATCATAAAATAGGAGAAACATCATGACACACCAGAGAAAGTTTTACTCACCTTAGGGCAGAAAACAGCCACCCATTCTTCACCCTTGATGGCAGGCCTAACATAGCATATTGTCTCACAATTCACACTAGGGCACCAGGCTCTTGTGGGATCCAGCTCTATCTCTGTAACAATATGGAGGAAACAGTTAAAAACAGAATGATAGAAAACCAGTTTTATTTTCTCTAACCAAGTAAGTCTGAGTACTCAATAATACAAATTAACAAAATGGAAATATTAAGAAAAACTATTTCTAAGTTTTTTTGAATAAATTTTTATTTCCAAATTTTTTATTTAAAAAAAGCCATTCACACTTAACTTACCCCTGTTTAGTTTAAACCTTTTGAATTGATCAAACACGTCTGCATTCACCAACTTTTCAACCTAAAAAAATAATATTTAATCAAGCTTCTTACTTTTGGATGAATATTCAGAAGTTTAGACATTTGTTTTCACAATATAAAAAGTCAAATAAGAATTTAAAAACTTGTACAGTTGTTTGAAAGAGGTGTCTGTCACATTAATTCATATATAAACCTCTATGTTTGATTTTTTGTTTTTGGAAGGTAAATAAACCATCAAATATATTTTTGTAACAAAGACTGTATTAAATAAACAGCTTATTTATGATGTTCAAGAGACTGTTTTGGTAAATTTTATCCAATACAGATACATAACTGCAAACCTATAAATAAAAGTGAAAAATTACAACAATTACAAAAGTAAAAGGTAAATAAAAATGTATCATTAATTAAGCTACTCCAATAAAAAACATTTTGCTCTACCAGCAATATACACTTTAAAAAGGACTGGAGAAAGTCACAACCAACTAACTTACCCCCAAGTGACAAAGCCACATACCTCAGAAACTAGAATCTTGGCTTCTTTCCCACATTCTCCATCAGGGCAAGTAATGACCACGTTCCCATCTTGTATATTGACAGTCAAGTACTGTTGTAGACACTACACAGAGTTTTCAGAAGTTTACACAAAATAGTCAAGAATAATAAAATAAAATTCTCTGAACATCTGCCAAAACTAAGTTTATAATTAGACAAACCTTCTTACACACACCACTGCATGTTCAAGAAGTAGCTTAAAGAATCAGCCTTCAGGCCAGCACAAACAGATTAATGGTTTAATATATATACACAAAAATATCACACTAGACTGTAATGTTTTTTAAAACCAGAGGTGTGTGTAAAAATAGTAATTCAGACGTATCTTGTGTCTCCTACAAAAACCTTCACAGTAACTGGACTATATCCATCGTACTGTAACGTAAAAGCATGGCAATCATGCCATACACAATACAGTTTAAATAATATTTTATCTTACAACAATGAAGTGTATGTTGATTAACCAAGTAAAATACTATTCAAATGCAGATTACAAATAAATTCGTTTTTTCTACACGTAAGACTCATAGAACATGCATATTAATTCTTTAAATTCTCTCTACCTTCCAGAGACACCACTTCATATTTTAAGACTTCAAAAAAATCAAATAAACTTACAAAAACACCTTGAATGAAAAGGTAAATATTTTTTTTAATATTTAGATGTGAAATCTTTACATTAGTACTTCATTATATCTTCAATCACTGAAACACAATGAACTACAATTATGGTTCGGGTAAAAAAAATTATCTCTAATCTAAATATATTTTTCTTTACTCTATATTTAGAAAAGAAATAACTGGACAAGTTATTTTGTAACGAGGTATCTCTGTTCAGTTCACTTATAATATGAGCTTTCCTACATCAACAAAACAACATAACTGGACAATTTGTTTTGTAACAAGATATCTCTGTTCAGTTCACTTATAGTACGAGCTGTTCTACATCATAAAAACAACACTTATTAATATTCACATTTTAAACTTTTTTTTCATAAACCTAGTTTGTTTAATACTAACTTCCAATATGAGCCCAGTTGCTACTTAAATCAAAACTAATAAAAAAATTGACTTGGTAATGAGTATACGTGATTCAATATTAACTGCTCTTATTTATAAAGATTAGAATACATTGTTTCATCAATTCAGCCATATGTTAACCATCTCTTATTTATACATTCACCTACGTATACATACTTATAAGAGATTAGCATGGGGATTACTGAGGAATCAAGCCCAGCTTACTGTGGCAGACGTCCTACAGCATTTGAGAATAGCTAACTATTAGCCCAAATAATTTAAGTATTAATTATATGTATGCTTAGAATATAAAGGTTTTTACATGATGAAAATATTTAGGAAAAAGGTTAAAAACATTAATGTAACCTTGTGTGACAATCTTCAAAAATTACTTACAAAACTATGTGTGAAAATATTAAATAAATTATTATTGCCCACATTTTTAAGAAACCTATTCTGAAACAGAAGGTTAACAACTATCTATTGAAACTCTTTTGAACAAAACCAAAGAAAACTTTATTTAAAATCTGAAAGTTTGGCTAATGATTAATTTAGTTAGAAACAATAGTCTCATGTTATTGAACTTATATTTACATGTCTAGATAAACTAAATTATAAAGAAACTAATGTCTTTATAAGATACTAATTTAAATGTAAATGTTTTTGTACAAATAAATTACCTTACAATAATAGCCTCAAATCACTGCTTAATAAGTTACGCCTCACTCGGAACACTGTACAGTTTTGGTCCCCTATTTACGAAAAGATATTGATGAAGGATTCAGAAGAGGATTGCTAGAATAATTCCTTGGATGAAAGGGTTATCTTACAAAGATATGCTAAGATTACTTACTCTATCATAAGAAAAGAAGGGTAAGACTAAAAAGGCGATATTATTGAAATTTATAAGATTATCAAGGAGATCAATGGGATAACACGCTTTGTTATTGTTTTCTCTGAAGATAGTAGATCAAAAAGTTTGGATTTGGAAAAGACATGATAGTTCCAGTTTTTCTAATAGGGGTGACTAATTTATGGATTGAAATGCTGTTGTCAGTAATGGCAACCAGCACTTTACAGGGGTTAAAGGAATTTAAAACTTCCTAATAAATAATGGGTGGCTTTTAATTTTTACCTTCCTAAAGAATGGGTGTGCAAGGGCAGCCAAAAAAAAACATCAAAGTTTCCTTACGCTCCATATGTTATCTATATCATAATCATAAGAACAAGTTTATTTTCTGTTTATGGCCATATGTTATACTTGATAATATATAAAATTAACTTATAAATAGTCAATGTGTATTCAAATATACACTAACTTACCATTTCACAGAAAGAACATCCACATTCTTTAAGTTGGTACAGTGCCCCCTGGGGAACCATCATTAAACACAGTTTACAAAGTACTAGTTGGTGAATTACATTACTGTCTACTGGATTTGAATCTCTTCCAAATGATACTTTCTGTAGAGAAATAGCTGACAAATCCTGGCTACTTGCTGCTGCTTGAAGAAATAAATCTGACACTGAAAGTGTTTCCTTGAGAGGGTGAATTCGACCAGAATATAAGCCAAAATTCTTAGGCTTTATGTTATGCTGACTAGTACATTTAGTAATCTTAAGTCCTGAACACTGACCTATCTTGGGTGAGGACCAAGACTTACAAATATCACCACTACTAAACGATGTCTTTAACATTTTGGTTGCAGACGGTACTTTTAAACACTCCCGACCACAAGGTGTTGAGGATTTTTTTATCATAGAAGGTACCTTTTTCATAATCACTGATGAGGATTTGCAAGTCTCTTTGTTCTTTGGTGAAATCAGATAGGCAGCGACACCACTGTCACAAGATTTTGACTTAGGAACTAGTTTCTTTCCTTCATAACCTTCTTCTACAGATTTTGACTTAGGCAGACCAAATCCTTTCTTCTTTTCATCACGACGAAACAACCAATTACGAAGCGAGAATCGAGCAGTCGTCTTACTAGGCCTATTCTTTTCTTCAGAAAACCAAAGGCTTCCATTGCCACCATTTTCAACTCCAGGCGACATTTTAAAAACTTTATAGATTTATGACGGGGAAAACTAAGATGGTTTAGAAAAGAACACCAAAGAAATGTCCCACGTAAAGTTTAATAGGTAAATTCTTAGCACAATGATGTACTGTTCATCAATGACTTGACAAAACCTGTATTAAAATAATATTTATTTAGTATACTATCACCAACTTAAATGTTCATAAATAGTTTAGTGGCAAAAAAAAGGGGGAAACTGATAAGCATTTTTTGTTGTTGTTGTTGTTGACAAAACTGTAACACTGCTTTCGAACAGCATATGAAATCAAGTATTAAATAACAATAAAATTTCAGCTCAAACAAAAACGAAATTTAAACACATATGTTTCCAAATAACATTTTACTTTTAGTTTTACCAGTTTGATTCAGCCTTGATCAAACTCTGATGTTCGGATAATTTACCAATGTATAATTTTTGTCATATCTATTTCCGCGGTTGGCTATTGCGGAGCAGCACCAAGGTCACGTGCCTTTTTTAATCATATCTGTAAACAACTTTAGGAAGTATCGCTATAACCTCCTCTATCAAAACAAGGTCGATTCAGAAAGCTATGCGCGCTCCTACTGGAAGGTTGCAGACATGTGCGCACCCATAAGTACATATAGAAACTACAATCAGCAAATTATAGATTTGTTTCAGTTGCAACCATTACCAGAAATTTTATGCAGTCGCTTCATCCATTCTTTCAACAAATTAACCATGCAATTAAATGGTAATAAGAAGAGTTCCTGGAATATCGACAATCGTTTGAAGCAGCCAATTTAAAACAAAAAAAGATGTACATTATATTTTTGCAAATGGGTTGCATTTGAATTTATTATAGCTGAAGCTTTTGCACAAATCGTCATATCAAACATTTTATGTAATAAGCCGAATCTTCCTGAAAACGAGTACGTAACAGGGTAGACATTGGTCACACGTGGCATTATTCTTAAAATCTAGCTGTCAGTGACTCACTTTTGTTTGAAGACTTACTTTAAGATGTAAAAAACAAAATTACTTAGGTTAATGGGGCGCAATACGATTTAGAAAACAAAACTATTTACACACCAACACAGTTGGACTATGAATAATACAAAAAAAAAACGGCCAAATGAACCGTATCGTTAATGTTAAACCTAACAGTAAGAGAAGATGAACGACTAGGCCAAGGTTGCTTAAACCACACCGATTCCAAAAACATAATAATGCAATACAAAAGTAATTTAATATTAATCAAGAAACATTAATGAAAATTTTTGTGATCAACTATATGACACTCGTAAAGTATTTGAACTTCAAGCTACGTGTACTGGAAAATGAGAAGCGTCAAAGAATGTTATATTTTTGCCTTTTGCTTTTATAGAAAAAAAAAATAAACAAAAAAATGCACATAATTTTTACATTTATTTTCAATATGTGGATGGCAGCATGTGGATCGATAAATTATATATTAAAGACCACAGAATAAAAAAAGGCTTAAGAAAGAATGCTTTCAGTTTCAATTTGATTCAAGTTTTTACAAGCTGACACTGAGTGGGACACTAAAACTAAGTAACAGCAAAGAGACACATGAACTTCGTTATCATAATAAAAAAAAAGAAGTGCCTTACCAAAAATCATTTTTTCATCTTTTTTTTGTTGTTGTTGTTCTATGCTAATTTTTAATTGCACTCATATTATATATTAACTTTTTGCAAATTGTAATATTTATTATTATTATTACTGTAATGTTCGTTTAAAATAATTTTAAAGCATGTTTAAAATTAATTATTTAAAAACAAAATATAAACCACATACAAAAAATGGGGGAAATATTTGCTATAACATCAATACTTACCGTTCACAAGTTTTTAATCTTCGTTTGTCAGATTGCTCTTTTAATGTCCCGCGACGTTATTTTCTGCTTTAGTGCAAAGTGGACGGCAAGAACATATGCTTATCACTTCTACAAGCAAAACACACCTAACCAATATTTTTGCATACTCAGCAAACGAGTCATATCCGTTCAGTACAGAAGCTGCTTAAGAGCACGAAGTGCACACGTGAACAGCGCTGGTTCATACGGGATCAGGATAACCTTCTCATTGGCTGAGCACAAAGACGTATGTTGCCACTACGTCTGCGCTATAATCCTTGTTTTTTCTTCACTAGAATGGTTATAAAAGCCAAACCACAGTTACGAAAAGACGGGTTCTGCAACTATGCAGTATTGAAATATGAATATATCATAAAATATTTTTCTGTTTTAAAATGTGTATTGTTCATATACGTTTCACACGTAAAAGATGCGTTTGAAGGAATAACTACAAATCAGACATTATTAATAAGAACTAAAAAAATATAAGTTACAACAGTGCTATACAATAGATTTAAAGTAATAATAAAACTAATTGCTTTTGTTAGATTTTACTTAGATCAGTTTTAAGTTTCAGGAAACTAGTAATCATACTTGTCAATATAGTTTGTGGTTAATAAACTTGAACTATGCATGATTTGTCTGTTTCTATTTTATTATTTTTGTGTGAATTGCCACTGTAGCAGACTAGTTAACTTACTTTAAAATTAGCAGAATACGGTTTCATAACACATCAGTATTTAAACTTGTTTTTAAGCAAAACATTAGGTAAGAAAAATACGTGACTAAATGTATTATTTAAACTGCGGGTGCACCTTCTTTTTACACAAATAAGTGATTTACCATAGTTTAACGCCCCCCAGTGCCACAGCGATATGTCTGCGACTTACAACGCTAGAAACCGGGTTTCGATACCCGTTGTGCGCAGAGCACATATAGTCCATTGTGTAGCTTTGTGCATGATTTCAGACAAACAAACCTAGTTTAAATGAAACTTGTAAAATGAAAATGCTCAAGAGATAAGCTTGGCTTACCTCACTGTAATAAACTGATGACTTATAAATGTCTTTTAGAAAAATTGGGGTGATCCTTCGACCCTACCCTCCAGGTTACGCCCCTGTTTTGTCACGTACGTAACAGAACATAATCTAACTACGTCTTCCGTATGTATACATACTCTGTTTGATTTTAATCAATCGATAGGAATCTAGAAGTAAATTGAGCTGCTAGAGAAATAGTTTTTCGATTCGATATTTTATTAGTGTTGTTATAAAGCAAAATATATATTTTTATATTACTATAATTTAAAAAGTTATTTATGGACGATTTGAGGAGACACATTTCGAGCGTGATTATATGTTATTGATTATGTAAATAAAGGTATGAGTGTGGAAATGGTGTATCTAGATTTCAGAAAACATTTGACAAGGTTCCACGTAAAAGGCTTCTTAAAAGTTATCTTTGTAGGTGTGAAGGATAGGTTGGTTCATTGGATAAAAAACTGGCCTGATGGAAGACAGCAGAGGATTTATAAATGGATTTCAATCAAATTTAATTTATGTCACGAGTGGGGTATCTCATGGGTTAGTTTTAGGGCCTTTGCTCTTTTTTATTTACATCAATTACATGAATGAATGGTCAATAGATTATTTAAATTTGCTGGTTACATTAAAATTTGGGGTATTACTGGCTGTAAGGATAATGCTACTGCTTTATAAAAGGATTTGGATTATTTGGTGAGTTGGGCAAATAAATGATAGATGACTTTTAATTAAATTAAATGCAAGAAAATGCATGTGGGATATAAAAATTTGAATTATGAGTATAATTTTGTTGAGAATAATCTTAACAGTGCAATAGAAGAGAAACATCTTAGTGTTCTGGTTCATCAGTCTCATAAAAAACGATGCAAGCATTGTGTAGTTGCTAGTAGCAGGGCAAATAGGATTTTAGATTGTATCTACAGAAATACTGAATACAAATCTAAAGAGGTTATTATGTCATTGTATAGGTCATTGGTTATGCCATATTTGGAGTACTGTGCTCACTCTTGGGCTCCTTACCTTAGAAAGAACATTAAATAGTTGGAAATGGTTTAGAGGAGAGTTACTAAGATGATACCTAGGATGGAACAGTTGTCATACGAGAATAGCTTAAGATCTCTAAACTTGTTGTTTCTTGAAAAAAAAAGAGTTAGAAGGGATCTGATTGAGGTGTTTAAGATTATCATAAGAGAATTGATAGTGTTGATGCACCATATTTTTTCGTATTTAATGGCGAGAATGGTAAGATAAGGGGCACAAATGTAAATTTTGGCAATGTAGGAGTCATCTTCAGCTAAGACATCTTTATTTTTTAACAGGGTGGTTGGCATCTAGATCATGTTGCTTTCACGTGTGTTGAATGTAATTAATTTAAGGAAGTTTAAAGTAAAGTTTGATAAATATTTGAATGATGAAGGTTGGCTTTGAGTGTTTATTTTATTTTATTTTTTTTTAGTGTTTAAATTAATTTAGTAGATATGACGGTTTAGATGTACCATTAATGTTATGTTATATTATCGGCATTGAAAATTCTTTGTGCCTCAAGGAGAAGAGATCTATGGAATACCATGATTATCAACATCGTGTTTGGGCACAGTACCTAGAGAGAGAGAGATGGTATGTTATTAACTAGTTCTTTTCGATGCAAAATATTAATGTAAAATAATTTGTGCATATGGCATCTATCCATTTTGTGCTTGAAAAATACTGAGCATATCTTTAAGCACAAACATTACATTAATTCAAACACTTAAGGTAGGGAGGATAACACATTTCATTTTTAAATTAAAAATTGAATTAAAAGTTTCTGAACATAGATTGGCAGATAAGTGATCGACAAGAAAAATACCTGAACACAGATTGGCAGATAAGCGGTCGACAAGAACAATATCCGAACACAAATTAGCAGATAGATGGTCTACAAGAACAATATTTGAACACAAATTGGCAGATAAGTGGTCGACAAGAACAATATCTGAACGCATATTGGCAGATCTTGTCGACCAATTACCACTTATCTGCCAATCTGTGTTCAGATATTGGTCTACAAGAACAATATCTGAACACAGATTGGCAGATAAGTGGTCGACAAGAACAATATCTGAACACAGATTGGCAAGTCTTCTTGTCGAGTTCACCTATCCCTATATGGTTTCCAGCCAGATCGGCACACAGGTAATTTCATAATCACTGGCTATAGCGAGGTCTTTGTGCTCTACATAGATGCTGCACCACAACCACGAGCACCAAGTCTCCTGGTACATTTCACCATAGACCTACCTACCTGAGAATTTTCCAGGTGCTCCATACCTTTTTAGATCTGTAGGTAATGGGGTCAACAAGAACATAATCCGAAGATTGGGGGAGACATTACTATAGATTGTTAGGTTAGGGGTGAACAAGAACATAATCTGAAGATGGGAGGAGACATTACTATAGATTGTTAGGTCAGGGGTGAACAAGAACAGAATCTGAAGATGGGGGAGACATTACTATAGATTGTTAGGTCAGGGGTGAACAAGAACAGAATCTGAAGATGGGGGAGACATTACAATAGATTGTTAGGTCAGGGGTGAACAAGAATAGAATCTGAAGATGAGGGAGACATTACAATAGACTGGCAGGTCATTGGTCAACAAGAACAGAATCTGAAGATGGGGGAGACATTACTATAGATTGTTAGGTCAGGGGTCAACAAGAACAGTGGACCACTAACACATCCAAATATGCGTCTCTTGCTGTTGTAGTTTCATCGTGATTGGAAGCCTCCTTCGTGTACAGGAGTAAAAAATGATATATGCAAATATTTTCTACTGTGAAGGTTTTGTTTTTATATTAAACACGTTATTAAGAGAATTTGCGTTACTTAGTCTTCGAAAGTGTATTTTTTCGGTTATGAAATGTTACATAATTTCGTTTGATAACTATGACTGAGACGGCACACACAAGTCATTTCTAGCAAAATGGCGGGTTGGGGCTCGAAATCAAACTTGTGTCAACCACCTCCATAATGAGTGGACCCGGAGATACGACGAACGGGCAGTAGGTGGGCAAACCGTTGGAGACACGTAAACCATCAAGCAAATATGAGTGATTCGGCATTTCACATGCGATATAGTACTGTTCACACATACACATAAGTCTACACTTATTGTCTACTTGTTGAAGTTAGTAACACGAACGTGTATGTGCTCACACTCACAATATCACATTTTACAAGCCACATTTGCCCTCTCCCCCAGTAGCTCAGCATTAAGTTTGCAGCTTACAACGCGAAAATTTGGGTTTCAATACCTCTGGTGGGTAGACCCCAAAGAGGTCATTGAGTAGCTTTTTGCTTAAAAGCAAACAAACAAACATGCATGAAAATTAATGGAAATTGCTTGAAAACTAAAATATCTGTTACAAATGGACCAAAACTATAAAGGTGAAAGTGAACTGTGGGAAAGCAGCTGATAAGAGAACTACTCGGATTATGAACAGAGTATAGATCAAGGACAAGCTTACTCATGTCGACAGATAATCGCAATGACGTCAAAATTTGGAGGTTTGTAACCTTGTTAACGCGGCTTCGAAGGTTTAAAGATAGGATGCTCATCTCACGTGGTTCTAGTTTTGGAAGTGCAGTCAAGGCTGCGTCAAGGTTGTCTCAAACGCAATGTTAAATTGGATTATATGACAACTTGCAATAAATATATATATGTATGTATGTTTGTATGTCCTGAGCTACTCCATGAAGATAAATCCAAAATATCTCCTTATTATAATCAAACACATATTATTCTCCTAAACTCTGCAAAGACATTCAATTCTACAGAACCACAAGAAGAAGGTAGTAGAGTAGAATTGTTTTTAGATCAGGCATTTAATAGTAAAGTAAAACCATAACAGTAGACAAAGTAGTGTTTCAGGCATTTAATAGTAAAGTAAAACCATAAACAGTAGACAAAGTAGTGTTTCAGGCATTTAATAGTAAAGTAAAACCATAAAAATAGACAAAGTAGTGTTTCAGGCATTTAATAGTAAAGTAAAACCATAAAAATAGACAAAGTAGTGTTTCAGGCATTTAATAGTAAAGTAAAACTGTTAAAGTAGAGAAAGTAGTGTTTCAGGCATTTAATGGTAAAG